TTTGTCTTGGGTGGCCGTTGAGGGCGCTGTTCACTCCTCCTGGCCACCGTTGATCACTTACCGTGCCCTTAGCCGAGGCGGTGTGTGGTGGTTAGTTGCCCAGGGTCTTGGGGACGATGAGCGTGTTGCGCTTTTGCCCTGGCCGGAGATGGCACTTACAGGGGCCTTGAAGCCGTTGTGATGCGTAACCGATATGATCACATTTGCAGTTGTGTACTTAAGTATTTTTGACTCTTTCCATTTTGCGTTTTGAGGCCGGTGTAGTCCCCCACTGCTTCAGGCCGAAGAGTGAGTGAGGGGTGAAGGAGTAGTGTGAGACCCAGGCCGGAGCGGGATCCTCATACTGGCCTTGAATCCAACCCTTTGGCGATTTCCTGACCAAGGTAACCCTGTGGGAGAACCCTTGGACGCAAGTCGCTTTCAAGGGGTTATCATCAAGGGTTTTGTGCGAGGGCCGCTGGCCGTCGGGTTCCCTTCCCTTGTGGTGTTATGGCCGTTGTAAGGCCTTTCTTTACATAATATGTATGGCCGCTTGAATGGCCGATACGGGCGCTACCTGGGTAGGCATAGCCTGTGTTGGCCGTTGAATGCCTTGGCCGGTGTGGGTGCTATTTTCCCATTCGTCGCTCCGTAGGGCCTGCTTTGCTGGTGGGCTGTTGCTCTGTGGACTGGGCCTGGCCCATTTATGAAGTGGTGGCATCCCATTGGTGGCCGTTTGTGTGGCCATTAGGGAGGTGCCACGTGTAGCGACCGTTGGGGGGCTCTATAAATACCCCTCCCATTCCGAAGAAAGCCCTCATTTGCGATATGAGCTACCGAAGTGCTGCCCAAATTTCTAGAGAGATAAAGTCCTTGCAAGTGTTCTTCGTGTTCTTCAAAGCTTCAAAGGTTAGTTCATCGAATTTTTCTCTGTACTTTGCCTACTTTGCTTCCTAGGCCCTTGATCTAGTGTTAGGCGTTAAACACCTTTAGATCTGAAGTAGGTTCCGTTAGGCCCGTAATAGTGTTATGATGAAGAACTTGAACGAAGAGTACTACCCCTACGATGATGAGCCTTCCGCCAAGTCCCTTGATTACGAAGTGGTCGAAGAGTTCTGCGAAGAGCATGAAAATCTGAGTTCGTTCAAATCGGGGGAGCAGGATGATGAGGGCGATGAGGACGAGGAGTCTGCCTCATCATCTGGAGGTGGGGACGTAGGAGTCTCCCGAACCGCGGACGGGGCGTCCACGTCGGTTGCCATCCCATGCCCGAAGCCGGTGTCTGCCGTCAAGGGTGTTGCGGTGCCGAAAAGGGTGAGGAGGCCGAAGAAGGAGCCGGCCTTTTCTTATCTTGATCTCACCAACATTTTCATCATCAGGCCGCAGAGCAACGCGGGTGAATACCTGGTCCCGCAGATGTACGTGGGGCCATTTGGTAGGGTTAGGCCCCCCAGGCCGACGGACCATGTTCTCAATCCACCCCCGGGGTACTTTGGAGTGTACCCGATGAGTTTCGCCAAAGGACTTCGGTTCCCGCTTCACCCGTTCATCACCGAGTACCTAGACATGGTAGGGCTCCCTCCGGCCTTGTTGACGCCGAACAGCTACTCGCTCATCGTTGGGTTCCTCTTACGTTGCGCTGAGTTGGATTTCCGGCCGACGATGGCGCTGTTTATGAACCTCTATCCGATAGGCCGTGGAAGTAATCAGAACTGCGCTTGCTATGCCACTCTCCAACAACTGCCGAAGAAGAGAAGCTTCACTGACTTGCCGTCGTCCATCCACGGTTGGAAGAGTAAGTTTGTTTTCGTGTCGTTGGGTGAAGGGGGCGTGGAATTTCCCTCCGTTGGCCACAGTGGGCGGTTCAATCTTCACGACACGCCGAAGAGCTCCATCTTGGACGCTCAGGTTGAAGCTTTCCTGAAGGGAGGGTCGAGGAGCGTGAAGACGTACATCACGGAGTACAAGATGACCGCCCTCGGCTTCATGAGGTATTTTGTATATGGTGATAAGGACGATGATGTAGAGTTATGGCCGAAGATTACAACGACTTACGAGGAGGCTGATGGTCCTGATCTAGGGGTGCCAGCTGAGGACGATGGTAATACCTTTTCGATGCCCTCCTTCTCATCGTAGTTTTATCCTTTTATTTGCTGACCCTTTGTATTTTTTCCGGTGCAAGTTTTGTCATGGATCACATGTCTTTCATGAAGAGGGCGCAACTAAAGGCGTCCAAAGAGCTGAAAGCCCAACAGCTCGCTACTGCACCTGCGACGAAGCCCCCTGTTCAGCCGAAGAAGAAACGGCCGGCCGATGAGGGCCAAAAGAAACTGACTGAGGCAGGCTTGAAGCCTACCAAGAAGCCGAAGAGGGCTTCTCCTGCTGGTGATGCCGGGATGTTGGATGTTCCTTCTGGGGACGAAGGTGGCTCTAACGCCGATGCGTTGGTGGATCTGACTTCGGGCCCTCCATCCACTGCTGTATGCAACCTTCCTCCCGCCGCCGCGGCCACCCGGAAGAAAGGGTCCGGCCGAGAGTTAGTCAGAGGGACCTATAAGCTCGAGGTTAAATACCTCGTTAAGGGCGGTTTATTCAACGAGATTATTGATGGCCACGAGGTGATCTCCCTGGCCATCCCCGACGAGGACCTGGCTTATCTGAAGAAGCTCGGTAATGTCAAAATGTACGATGGTGGGATGGACCACATCGTCCAAGTAAGTTTTCCTTTGTCTACTTCGTCTTCTTCTTCTTTTCTTTACTACGCAACAGCGTCGTCTAACCATTGTTTTCCCGCAGGGTGCCTTTATGTTGATGGAGAAAAACAGAAGGCAACAAAGGGATATTTCTCGATTGAAGCAAATCGAGGAGAAGGTGGAGAGGCTGTGGCTCGAGGTGGAGGACCTGAAGAAAAAGGTGGATGAGGCTGATCTGCTGGCCGCTGAGAAGGATGGGGTCCTTCAGCGCTTGGCCGATGTGGAGCGGGCTCGTGATGAAGCCCTTCGTCGTGCCGAGGAGGCCGAGAAGGGTAAGGCCGATGCAGAGTTGGCCCTGAGTGCTGCCGAAGAGAGGGCCGCCGAGGCCACTGTGCAAAAATTCCTCGAGGTCGGCTGGAAAGGCGAGGACCGACTTCCTTGGTGCTTCGACGTCGTGGCGGTGAAGCTCGCTGACTGGGTCAATAAGTGCCCTGACGGCCAGGCGTACTGGGAGAAGGAGATGAAGGTCTTCTACGACCTTGGCCAGTACAGGATGCAGCGGCTGCTCTATCGGAGGCTCCAACGTCGATTTCTGGATCTAAATGTTTCCAAGGAGTGGGCTGTCGGCCTGGAGCTGCCTCCGGTGATGAGGCATCCTGAAGCTGAACTGGAGCTCCCTGTTGCGGAAAGGTAACTCCTCATCGAGAGCTCCCAGGCCAGTGACGATTGGACCTATGAGCCTAGCATGTTTGAAGACACCGCTACGTCTGGTGCTGCTGCCGATGGGGCCACTGCTCAAGCCGAAGAGAAGGTCGGTGTTGAAGGGAACTCAGAAGCCCTGCGGGAGTCATGATCCATCCCTTTATTGTTTCTTTGATTGTTTACAATGTAACGGCCATGAAGCCCCCCTTGTACCCCTTTTTTGTTGTGAATGAAAATATGCCTCTTTTCAGGTTTCACGCTTTACTGTATCGTCTTTGTTGTTTTTTTTTGTTTTGTTTACAAGATGTCCAATTGTGTTGGGAGTTGGGTCATCTTCGTCCTCGATTGCCTTCTGGTTGTGGCCGAAGCGGGCAGCTCAAGTGTGAGTGCTCGTTTCGTCTTGGTGTAATCCCCCCTTATCCTCTGTTGACGTGGACTTCGTGAGTCAAAATACTTAGAAAAAATTAGAAAATTTTCTATGTGTCACATTAAGTAGCTGCCCTAGTCAGGGGCCTTCGGGGAGTGTCCTTTTAGGCTTCGGCCGCAGGGGTCGATAGTCCTCCGGCCGGTTTGGACTTCGTTTATAACGTCCATGATCTCAGGGGGGGTCCCGTCGCCTATTTATGACGCGGGCTAGACTTTTGGTTGGTTTCCAACGGCTGCCGTTGCCGGACCCTGAGTTTGGGGATTTTGTCACCTCGGCCATGATTTCAGGCCTGTCGTCCTGCGATCAGGCGCGTGGACGAGGCGGTGAACTTCCCATTTACGGGCCCGCCGTCCTGGGGACATCGTCGGCCCTGACAGGCCAAAATGTGTAGTGTGAAATGATGTAAAAATGTGAATGGAAATGATGTTTTAATTGGCTTGTAACGATATAGTATAGAGTAAGTGAGTATCGTTCCGCTAGAGAATGGCTCACAAAGAGAACTAGAATTAATGATTGATTTTTAGCTAATCACAAATTAATAACATTTTGCAATGGAGCTAAGTGAACAGATTTTTTTTTATCTTGTTTTTATAAATGCGGAATTGCTAGGGAGAAAAATAAATCACAATACTTGGTAATTTAACAATTAATGATAGAGAAAATTAGGCTTGGGCTAAGAGTAATTTTATTTTGATGTTCATAATAATAAAGATTTAACTAATTAACTTAGTTACTTTTAGATGTGTGAAAGATTTACAAATGGTAATCTTCTAATCGTTCCCACGACTTAGTTGATTACACTATCTTAAATTAATTCCGCTCCCGCAGTAATTTTATTAAGACAATAAAAAGTACAAAATCAAATTATCCTAAATTCCTTAACACTTCCGTGTAGCAATTTAGTGGGTGAATTAATAAAAAGTATTTTAATGAAATTTCACTCCCGTGATAATATTCATTTCCCAATATAATGTATTTAGCAGATTAGAATATTCAACCCAACACTCCTAAAATTAACCAATTAATAGTTTTAACCAATTATTATCATATGAACATTAATAGTAAAAATTACATCTTGCCCAAGCCTAAACTTAATTTAGTTACACATAATTACGGTAAATAAAATAAAAGCAAAATTCATGAAAGACATAATAAATTTAACAGATTAAGGAAATTAAAGTGAGTGTTTAAGTAAGAACCTGAAGGCATAAAATAATGAAGAACATAGATGGGCTGGAATAGAAAAGATGAAATCCTTGTATTAAGCTGGAACTGATTGAACGAACTGATAAACCCAAATGAACTTCAATTCTGGAACTGAGAATTATAAACTGAAATCTATACAGAAAGTGTTCTTGGCAGAATCACTTTTATTATATGACTACTAATACTTCGTATAAACTAAAGAAAAGAGAAGAATGATTTCTATCAGAACTTGGTGTCTTTTGCAGCTCTCAAATGGCCCTTTATATAGCAGCGGGAGAAGGAGAAATCTGAAATGAAGATGTTGATCAATAATTTTCGGTGTTCTATTTCCTCAGCCTTCATGAGATGTGATTGTCACTGCTTAATTTCGTTCTCCAAACAGTACCAGCTGCTGTTGAGTTATTTTTTTTCTTCTTTTGCCACTGTGCTTTCGGCGAATCAAAGATGAAGAAGACAGCCTTGGTTCCAAGTGGATGCAATATAATTATTTGATCTCCTTTTGTTTTCTTCTTGAGATTTCTTCAACGGGTGGAGCCTTATTCACAATAATGAGTGAATAGTGTTGTGAGCTTGCTCATTTTTCGTCACTTATTTTATTTTGGCCAGTTAACTGTTTGATCAGTTAACTGGTCGGCAGTTAACCGGTACATTTTATTGCGGACAATCTAATTTATTTTGAAGTAATTTCGGGTCTCTTGATAAAATATTTCAGAGTTAAAGTAAGGACCCGCTTCACTTTGCTGATTTTTCTGTCTTCACTCAGGAGTAATTTTATTTCTTTTCAAAATTTCAATTTACATCCCGAATTATCCTGAAATTCAAAAATATATCAAAACAAGTGCAATACCTTAAAATGTTCAAGATGATAAAAATCAATCCTTTTTTATTTAAAAAATGAAAAATAAAATATTAAAAGTGTGACAAAACAAGATCATAAATATGGTAAATTAGGAGTGCATCAACTCCCCCACACTTAAGATTTTGCTTGTCCTCAAGCAAAAATATTTACATTTCACACAAGCAAGCAAGCAAAAATGAATTTGCCAAAACATATGTATAACCTTCAAATCATGCACACTTTCCTTTCACTCCACCTGATCAATCAAATTCCCTTGACTTGTCACAAAATAAGAGTAGTGAGAATCATAAAAATATTTTTCATATCATCTAAAAAGTTTTGGTCAACCCTTAACTCTAACAAACGCAAAGTGTGTGATGTGAAAATTGAATCTAGCTTCGTTTGTTCAACCATGCAAAATTATGCAAAATAAGATTTTCCTATCAACTTATTTCAGACAAAACACAATTAAGATCAATTAGGACTTTTCACATTGGGTTATAATGGGGTCTGTGGGAAAAGGCTTATGAACAAAGGGAGTTAATGAGGAAACAAAAGAAATGAACTTGTCATAAATTTAACAAATTTAAAGAGGTACTAAGAAGTGAGTAGGAGCTTTTGAGAATAATCTATACAACACTTAGTTATTTTCAACAGTTAGGGGTAGTAAAAAGAGTAATTTAATGTACAAGAAAAATATACAAAAGAGAGAAGCATATACATTGACATTTAGCCTTGTTCTTCTTTTTTTTTCTTTTTTTTTATATATATATATTTCTTTTTTCTCTCTCTCTTTTTTTTTTGTTTTTAATTTTTTTTTTCTTTTTCAATTTTTTTTTTCAAGGCTTATTTCATGCTTCTAACAGTAAGAATTTACAAGAATAATATGTACAATGATGATACAACAAGAACAACTACCCCTATAAATGAATATTAACAACTAAGTAATCACAAAAGTGTAAATGAAGCTCCCTTAAGGTGAATGACACTCTCTAAAATCATTAAAATTTATGCAAGTTCATTCTAGGGTTGATGGAAAGTGTTTGACTTTTAGGCTAAGGTTCACATATAACGCGTTGTCATGAAAGAAAATAACAAAAATAGGGTTAAGCGTATAACGCTTATTAAAAGAAATGGCTCAAAGGGGTGAACAAGGGATATTTATCACATGGGTAAGGCTAGGTATATGGGTTTTTTTTTTTTTTTTGAAAAATGGCCTATATCATTTCCTAATGTGCTAAGTCAGAAAATCATGTCAAGGAAAATAAAAGCACATAGCACTCTTGTTTTGCACAATCTTAAACATATTGAACAACAATTTCACTAGATAACCATTTACGTGCATGAGATGTATTGTGTCTGTACAAAGTTTGAAATTTGACCAAAATTTTACTCAACGCTCAAAATTATGATTCTCAATCCAATTATTAAGAGACAAGTCCCGCCAACAATCCACATACCATGTGAAAGAATAGAATGCATGATTTGAAAGTTAAACAGGTGATAAGGCAATTTACAAGCAAACAAACAAACATGTGTATTCTCCCCCCACACTTAGGATGAAACATCGTCCTCGATGTGACAAATATATACAGGGCGGGTGAGTAAATGGGTGGGGGAAAAAATCATGCAATGCAAACACACAAACAAAACACACATACAAATGTAAGGAAATAAACTTGGGTTGCCTCCCAAGAAGCGCTATTTTTAACGTCGTGTGCCCGACATTACCTGAGTGTTTTACTCGTAAGGAGGATTGTCCAGATCAACAGTGAGTTTCTCCTTTGTGTCATCTCCTTCATGATATTGCTTAACTCTTTGGCCATTGACAGTAAATTGCCTCCCATCATTTGCCTCCAGAATGATTGCCCCAGATGAATAGGCTTTGATAACTTTGAAAGGTCCAGACCATTTTGATTTCAGCTTTCCTGGAAAGAGTTTTAGCCTTGAGTTGAATAGTAGCACACTATCTCCAGAAGAAAAGTCTCTCCTAAGGATTCTCCCATCGTGCCATTTCTTTGCTCTTTCCTTGTAGACTCGGGCATTCTCAAAGGCATCAAGTCTGAATTCTTCAAGTTCATTTAGTTGTAACAACCTCTTTTGCCCTGCCAGAGTGGAGTCAAGGTTTAGGCTTTGGATAACCCAAAATGCTTTGTGTTCAATCTCCACTGGTAAGTGACAAGACTTCCCATACACCAATTTGAACGGTGATGTGCCAATAGGAGTCTTATATGCAGTACGATAGGCCCATAAAGCATCATCAAGTCGGAGGGACCAATCTTTCCTTGTGGGATTGACAACTTTCTCAAGGACTGATTTGATTTCCCTATTTGAGAGTTCAACTTGGCCACTAGTTTGTGCATGGTACGGAGTAGACACTTTGTGATTAACACCATACTTGAGCAAAAGTTTCTCAAGTTGCTTATTGCAGAAGTGTGTACCATTATCTGTGATGAAGGCCCTCGGAACTCCAAACCTTGAGAAAATAAATTTCTTCACAAACCGGATCACAACCTTGGAATCATTTGTTGGACTAGCAATCGCTTCAATCCATTTTGAAACATAGTCCACAGCCACAAGAATGTAAGAATTGCCATATGAGCTAGGAAATGGTCCCATAAAGTCCATTCCCCATACATCAAAGAGTTCAACTTCAAGTATTCCGGATTGTGGCATTTCATTTCGGCGGCCAATAGATCTTGTGCGTTGGCATCGATCACATCTTTTCACGTACATTTGAGAATCTTTGAACAATGTAGGCCAATAGAAACCTGACTGTAGGACTTTAGCTGACGTCCTTGTGGATCCGAAATGACCACCATATGGTGATGAATGACAATGATAAAGTATAGCCTCAAACTCATCTTCTGGAATGCATCTTCGAACAATTCCATCAGCACATCTCTTGAACAATAATGGTTCATCCCAAAAATAAGAGCGAGCATCATGTAAGAACTTTTTCTTTTGGGACCACGAGAATTCGGAAGGAATATAACCACTGACCAGGTAATTAACCCAATCAGCATACCAAGGAGAAAAGTGCTTGACAGAGAGCAAATATTCTCCCGTGAATGAATCATCAATGGGTAATTCTTTGGTCGCTTTATTTTCTGTGTGTGACTCAATTCTGGACAGGTGATCAGCGATGACATTTTCAGACCCCTTTTTGTCAAGGATCTCGATGTCAAACTCTTGCAGTAGCAACACCCATCTAATAAGTCGTGGCTTGGCCTCCTTCTTTGCAAATAGGTACTTTAGAGCTGAGTGATCAGTGTAAACTATCACTTTGCTTCCAACAAGATATGACCTGAACTTCTCTATGGCAAAGACAACTGCGAGTAGCTCATTTTCTGTTGTGGCATAGTTTTGTTGAGCATCATCAAGAGTATGACTTGCATAATAAATTGCATGTATGCAACGACCTTGTTTCTGTCCCAACATGGCTCCTACAGTGTAATCACTGACGTCGCACATTAGGATGAAAGGCATGCTCCAATCCGGTGGTTGAATGACAGGTGCAGAACACAATGCTTTCTTAATTTTACAAAAAGAATTAAGATAAGCATCATCAAAGATAAATTCAACCTCTTTGGATAGGAGTCTTGTGAGTGGTTTTGCAATATTAGCAAAATCCTTGATGAATCGCCGATAGAATCCAGCGTGCCCTAAAAAGCTTCGGATGCCTTTAACAGATGTTGGCGGTGGTAACTTCTCGATCACTTCAATCTTTGCTGGATCTACCTCAATGCCTTTGGATTAAATCTTATGCCCAAGAACAATCCCTTCTGTTACCATGAAATGGCACTTCTCCCAGTTTAGGACAAGATTTGCCTCTTGGCAACGAGTCAATGCTTTATCAAGATTATCCAAGCACGAGTCGAATGAGGTCCCATAGACAGAGAAATCATCCATGAATACCTCCATGATTTCTTCAATAAGATCAGAGAATATAGCCATCATACACCGTTGGAATGTTCCGGGTGCATTACATAAGCCAAATGACATTCTTCGAAAAGCAAATGTACCATAGGCACACGTGAAGGTAGTCTTTTCTTGATCATCTGGATGGATCATGATTTGAAAATATCCTGAGAATCCATCGAGAAAGCAATAATGGCTATGGTTTGCCATCCTCTCAAGTAACTGATCAATGAAAGGTAAAGGATAATGATCCTTATTTGTGACTTTGTTAAGCTTCCTGTAATCGATGCACATTCTCCATCCCGTGACCAAGCGAGTAGGAATGAGCTCATTATGCTCATTTGGAACAACTGTGAAACCTCCTTTCTTTGGTACAACATGGATTGGACTTACCCATCTACTATCCGAAATTGGGTAAATGATACCGGCATCAAGAAGTTTGATAACTTCTTTCTTCACAACGTCCTTCATGTTAGGATTAAGTCTCCTTTGATGTTCAACAACTAGTTTGCATCCTTCCTCAAGATAAATTCTGTGCATACAATAGTTAGCACTGATGCCAATTAGATCATCGATGGAGTATCCAATGATCTGTTTGTGCTTTCTCAATAGGACCAATAACTTGTCTACTTCCTCCTCATTCAATTTAGTGCTAATAATCACTGGGTAAGTAGAGTTTTCACCAAGATAAGCATATCTTAGGTGTGATGGTAAAGGTTTCAACTCAACTTTGGGTGGTTCTTTTGTGCTATTAGTCTTCCTCACTTCTTCTCTCTCCAGTTTGTCCACTTTCCCCCCCTCATGATTTTTTTCACAGCTCTCTTTGTTTTTTACACACTCAACTAACTCTTCTCCCTCATGATTTTTTTCAATTTCCTCCACAGCATAAGCTTCCATAGGATCATTGTGAAAGAATCCCATGAAGTCTCTCACACATTCATCAACTATATCAACCCTCCAACAATCTTCCACACATGAAGGATTTCTCGCCATTTGGAAAATATTGAACTCAACCCTTTCATCCCCCACTTCAATTATTAACGTACGTTTTTTAACATCAATGATGGCACCAGCAGTGGCCAAGAAAGGCCTTCCTAATATGACAGGTACTCGCTCATCTTCATCCATGTCTAGGACGACAAAGTCACAAGGGATGAAATATTTCCCAACTTGTACAGGAATGTCTTCTAGAATACCAACAGGGTGCTTAACAGATCGGTCAGCAAGCTGAATGGTCATCGAAGTAGCTTTGGGAATACCAAGACTAAGTCGTTTGCTCATAGAATAAGGGATAAGGCTAACACTAGCCCCAAGGTCACACAAAGCTTTGTTGACCATGAACCCTCCAATAATGCATGGAATATTAAAGCTACCTGGATCCTTCAATTTTTCTGGAAGTTTCTTTTGAATAATAGAACTAGATCCCTCGCTCATGGCTACGGTAGCTTTCTCTTCAAACTTCTTTTTGTTTGACAGAATTTCCTTCAGAAATTTGGAATATGAAGGCATATGTTTCAGAGCATCAAGAAGTGGAATTGTTGTGTTAAGCTGTCCGATCCATTTAAGGAATTTATCCCTCCTCTCATCAACTGTGTTCTTCTTTGCTCTGTAAGGAAATGGTAAAGGTGGAACATATGGTTGAACTACCTTTTTCGTGCCCTCTTGTGTTGGGAAATTGAGACCTTCTTCGTTACTCTCCTTTGGTAGTGAAGTCTCTTTTTCAGTTATCTTTTCTTTTTCAACTACAAGTGGTGGATCAGAAAGTTGTTTTCCACTCCTTGTAGTTATTGCATTGACATTCTCCTTGGGATGTTCAGAGTAGGCAGGCAATTTTCCTTGAGCTTTGCTAGTAGATGGTGAAGCAAAACTAGCAATCTGGCTCTCAAGCATTTTGTTGTGAGCTTGAATTTGATTGAGTTGAGTGGTGAGTTGAGAAAATTGATTAGTAATACCTTGCATCATCTGTTGGAAATCACTAACTCCAACAAATTGTTGTTGTTGTTGAGGAGGTGATGAAAATTGTTGTTGCGGTGGGTACCCTTGAGGATTTTGATACCCTTGATTTCCCCTCAATTGTTGGTTGTTTTGGTTTCCTCCTCTGAATCCTTGTTGATTTTGAAATCCAGGAGGTGTTGGTTTGGATGGAAAAGATGAATTTGCTGCACCTGATGAGTTGCTCCATGAGAATCCTGGATGTGTCTTCCCTTGAGGGTTATAGTTTCCTTGATATGGTACTTGAGGTCTACCATATATAGCTTCAGCTTGTTCTACTGTGGGGCCAGAAGGAACATTTTGTGTAAGTTCAAGAAGATTGCATTCCTTAAAAGAATGTCCTCCTCCACAGAGTTCACAGAACAAAACTTGAGCTAAAGATGATGATGGATTTGTTGATGTGCTAGAAGTTGATGATGATTGTTTCTCCGTGAGCTTTTGAACCATGGTTGTGAGAGAATCAACCTTTGCCGTTAAAGCTGTTGTTTGGTCAACCTCATAAATTCCCGCTCCTAGTTTTTGAGTGGATCTTTCAGAATACCATGATGCACTGTTGTTACAAATTTTCTCAAGCATCTCTTTGCCTGTTTCAGGATCAAGCTCCATGAAAGCTCCATTAGCAGAGGCATCCACAACAATTTTGGAATTATCATGTAATCCTTCATAAAATGAGACAATGAGATCACCCATGCTCATATTATGATGTGGATATTGAACTTGAAGGTCTTTAAATCTCTTCCATGATTCGTAAAGAGATTCTGATGGATGTTTCCTGAATTGCTGGATAAGTTTCTTCATTTTTGATGCCTTGGAAGGAGGATAGAACTCCTTCATGAATTCTCGATGCAACTTCTCCCATGTGTTGAAATAACCGGATGGTTTAGAGTTCAACCAACTCAATGCTTCATCCCTCAGTGAGAATGGGAACAATCTGAGTCTGATAGCATCAACAGAGGCTCCATTTAGTTTAAGAGTTTGGAGAACTCTCAAGAATTGTTTCACATGGCTCGTCGGATCTTCACTCTTTGATCCGCCAAATTTGTTGGCTGAGACCAATGAGATAAGTGCTGGTTTGATCTCAAAATTTGCTGCATCCACACCTGGATAGAGAATACTGTCTTGTTGCTCAATTTCACCTGCAACATAATCAAGAAGTCTTCGCCCTTGTTGTTGTCTCATGAATTGCCCTTGATCTTGTTGATTATGTGGGTGTTGGTAGTATTGGCCAAATGGGTGAGGTTGGTATGGGTGCATAAATGGAGGAGGTGGGTAAGGATATGGGTAAATGTATGGATATGGAGGAGGAGGTTGGTTTTGGTGATTTTGGTAGGGATGTGGTGGATAAATTTGGGGTTGTGTTTGGGGAGGAATTTGTTGGAAATTTTCAAATCCTGGTGGTCTTTGATCTCCAAAGAAAGGATTATGTCTATCTCTGGGAGTATCAACGGGTGTATTTTGAGGTGGCGTAGGATTTGGATTTGGAATTAGGTTTTGGCCATTTGGATTATTGGGATTGTTTTGAAAATCCTCCATGATCAGATCTGGAATTTTAAGTTCAAGGGTTCGTGCTTTTCTTCTTTTCCTTAATTCTGTTTCAAAATCAAGGTTAAGTGGTTGCAATCCTTCACTCCCTTGAGAGCGAGTATGCATACACTTTTTTAAGAGTTTTTTTTATAGTGCACGAAAAATGATTTTTTTTTACGAAAGTGATGAGAACAGGTAAAAAAAAAACTTAGTCTCCAGATAAATAATAACAAACACTAATATTAACTAATAATCAATCAATAACACTATGCCATTCCCCGGCAACGGCGCCAAAATCGTGACAGGCCAAAATGTGTAGTGTGAAATGATGTAAAAATGTGAATGGAAATGATGTTTTAATTGGCTTGTAACGATATAGTATAGAGTAAGTGAGTATCGTTCCGCTAGAGAATGGCTCACAAAGAGAACTAGAATTAATGATTGATTTTTAGCTAATCACAAATTAATAACATTTTGCAATGGAGCTAAGTGAACAGATTTTTTTTTATCTTGTTTTTATAAATGCGGAATTGCTAGGGAGAAAAATAAATCACAATACTTGGTAATTTAACAATTAATGATAGAGAAAATTAGGCTTGGGCTAAGAGTAATTTTATTTTGATGTTCATAATAATAAAGATTTAACTAATTAACTTAGTTACTTTTAGATGTGTGAAAGATTTACAAATGGTAATCTTCTAATCGTTCCCACGACTTAGTTGATTACACTATCTTAAATTAATTCCGCTCCCGCAGTAATTTTATTAAGACAGTAAAAAGTACAAAATCAAATTATCCTAAATTCCTTAACACTTCCGTGTAGCAATTTAGTGGGTGAATTAATAAAAAGTATTTTAATGAAATTTCACTCCCGTGATAATATTCATTTCCCAATATAATGTATTTAGCAGATTAGAATATTCAACCCAACACTCCTAAAATTAACCAATTAATAGTTTTAACCAATTATTATCATATGAACATTAATAGTAAAAATTACATCTTGCCCAAGCCTAAACTTAATTTAGTTACACATAATTACGGTAAATAAAATAAAAGCAAAATTCATGAAAGACATAATAAATTTAACAGATTAAGGAAATTAAAGTGAGTGTTTAAGTAAGAACCTGAAGGCATAAAATAATGAAGAACATAGATGGGCTGGAATAGAAAAGATGAAATCCTTGTATTAAGCTGGAACTGATTGAACGAACTGATAAACCCAAATGAACTTCAATTCTGGAACTGAGAATTATAAACTGAAATCTATACAGAAAGTGTTCTTGGCAGAATCACTTTTATTATATGGCTACTAATACTTCGTATAAACTAAAGAAAAGAGAAGAATGATTTCTATCAGAACTTGGTGTCTTTTGCAGCTCTCAAATGGCCCTTTATATAGCAGCGGGAGAAGGAGAAATCTGAAATGAAGATGTTGATCAATAATTTTCGGTGTTCTATTTCCTCAGCCTTCATGAGATGTGATTGTCACTGCTTAATTTCGTTCTCCAAACAGTACCAGCTGCTGTTGAGTTATTTTTTTTCTTCTTTTGCCACTGTGCTCTTCTGATCGGCGAATCAAAGATGAAGAAGACAGCCTTGGTTCCAAGTGGATGCAATATAATTATTTGATCTCCTTTTGTTTTCTTCTTGAGATTTCTTCAACGGGTGGAGCCTTATTCACAATAATGAGTGAATAGTGTTGTGAGCTTGCTCATTTTTCGTCACTTATTTTATTTTGGCCAGTTAACTGTTTGATCAGTTAACTGGTCGGCAGTTAACCGGTACATTTTATTGCGGACAATCTAATTTATTTTGAAGTAATTTCGGGTCTCTTGATAAAATATTTCAGAGTTAAAGTAAGGACCCGCTTCACTTTGCTGATTTTTCTGTCTTCACTCAGGAGTAATTTTATTTCTTTTCAAAATTTCAATTTACATCCCGAATTATCCTGAAATTCAAAAATATATCAAAACAAGTGCAATACCTTAAAATGTTCAAGATGATAAAAATCAATCCTTTTTTATTTAAAAAATGAAAAATAAAATATTAAAAGTGTGACAAAACAAGATCATAAATATGGTAAATTAGGAGTGCATCAGGCCCCGCCTGAGCATTTCGCTCTAAGGGGTCGATACGACGTGCTCTCTCAGCTGGGCCTAAACCTTTCGCTGATACAAAATACAATGGGGCATACCTGAGCCTTTCGCTCTAAGGCTGCCGATGCGAGGCGCCGTATCGGCCATACCTGAGCCTTTCGCTCTAAGGTGGCCGATGAGGGCACCCGTTAATATTTTACTTAAAATTCCAAAAAAAAAATCAAAGGAAACATGACTTTTATTCATAAGTGGCTCGAGGCCGAGGGTAGTGTTCGACCAATAACCCGTTAGAGGTGAGGGCTCTGCCGGCTATACCTCCTTCGGATTATTGGTAAAACTTCACCAGATGGTGTACATTCCACGTTCGTGGTACATTGGACCCATTCGGGCGTTTAAGCTTGTAGGTGCCTGGTTTGACCACGACACTGACGATGTAGGGTCCTTCATACTTCAAAGCCAGCTTGCCACCTTCTGTCGGCTGACTTACTTCCCTTCGGCGGAGGTCGTAGTCCCCCACTTGAAACTCCCTTGAACGTACCTTAGCGTCGTAATATGATTTTACTTGACGCCGGTAGTTTTCGGCCCGGATGAACGCTTGTTCGCGTCTCTCTTCGACCAGGTGGAGGTCGATCTTCATGTTTTCTTCGTTGGCGTCAGGCTCATATTGGTCCACCCGTTGGCTGGGGATGGCGACCTCTGTGGGTTCCTTCGCTTCAAATCCATAGCACAGGGCAAAGGGCGTTTCACCTGTCGCCCTCCTCGGCGTAGTGCGATAACACCATAGGATGTTGGGGAGCTCGTCGACCCAACTTCCTCCTGCGTCCTGGAGTTTCTTCTTCAGCCCCTCCATGATAGTTCTGTTGGCGTTCTCGACCTGCCCGTTGCCCTGAGGATAGGCAACAGAGGAGAAACGGTGCTTTATCCCCCATTCTCGAAGGAGCTCCTGGAAGGGCGCCGCTTCGAACTGGGTGCCATTGTCGGATATGATCTCTTGGGGGACGCCGAAGCGGGTGAGAATGTTATTGTGGACGAACTTCTGGCACCTAGCCCCCGTGATGCTGGCTAGAGGTTCTGCCTCGACCCACTTGGTAAAGTAGTCGACTGTGACGATGATGTAGCGGTTATTCCCGGCAGCTCTGGGTAGGGGGCCGACCAGGTCAATTCCACATCTGGAGAATGGGATTGCAGTGCTTACCGGGGCGTAATTGACGGCTGGCCGACCAGGGGCCTTATGAAGTACCTGGCACGCGGTACATCTCCTAGCGAGGTCCGCACAATCCCACGCCATCGTCGGCCAGAAATAGCCCTGGACGACGAGGCGTCGGGACATGCTGAAAGGGCCCTGATGCGAGGAGCAGACACCGCAGTGGACCTCCTCCATGGCCACTTCGGCCTCGTCCTGGTGCAGGCATCGGAGGAGAGTGCCGTTGTAGGATTGCTTGTAGAGCTTGCCATCTTCAATGGTGTAGCTTGGAGCCCTGAGCTTAGCAAGTTTGGCCCTCTCCTCATCTTGGGGTAGTTCCCCCGTGGTGATGAAGGTTGTGATATCGGAGATCTAATCTTCCGGCCGCTGCTGGATGCACAAGACGGGGCTGGCGTGGATGCTGGACATGCTCAGCTCCTCGACATTGGCTATCTTGGAGATGTGCTCTGGAGTGTCTGAGCTGAGCTTGGAGAGGATGTCGGTTTCGGCGTTCTCGGTCCTTGGGATCTGAGTGATCTTGTGGGTTTCGAACGCTTTCAGCAACTCCTCTGCCGCTTGTTTGTACTGCCTCATCCGGCCTTCCTTTGCTTCATACGAACCCTCAACCTGGCCCACCACCAGTTTGGAGTCGCACCTGATTCTGATGTTCTTGGCTTTGAGGCCGGCGGCGAGTCTGAGGCCGCTTAGGAGGGCCTCATACTCGGCTTCATTGTTTGACACCCTGAAGTTGAACTGGATGGCGTTGTATGCTCTGAATCCTTCACGGGAAATGAGGACGTCGCCGCCCCCGCATGCTTTCGCGGCCGAAGAGCCGTCAGTGAAAAGGGTCCACGTGTCGTCTGGCTCTGGCCCGGGGGTAGTGGCGGCCATCTCCCTTGCTGTGCATTCGGTGACGAAGTCGGCCATGGGATGAGCACCTTGACTTAATAGAGTTTTCGTACAATAACAGTTACCATGCTAGCATCGGAATGGCCCCGTATGAAGCTCTATATGGTCAAAAGTGTAGAAGTCCCTTATGTTGGGGTGACATTGTCGATCAGGTGGTTCTAGGACCACAATACTTACAAAATACCATAGAGAAAGTCAAAGTCATCCAAGAGAGGATGAAGGCTGCCCAAGACCGACAGAGATCATATGCCGATCTTGGGAGGAAGCCAGCTGAATTCTAGGTAGGGGAGAAGTTCTACTCAAAGTCTCTCCTACAAGGGGAGTAATGAGGTTCGGGAAGAAAGGGAAACTTAGCCCGAGGTTCATCGGACCCTACGACATCCTAGAGAAGGTGGGAAAAGTGGCATATCGATTAGCTCTACCCACAGAGTTGGATAAGGTAACAAACGATTTTAAAACAAGATACTTTTCAATGATTAGATTTCATCCTTAACATACAGACTTGTGCTAGGTACATAACGTCTTTCACATATCACAATTAAAGAAGTACGTTCGAGATGAGTCACGTATCATCAATCCTGAGGTAAGAGACCCTAAACTTAACATGAACCAAAGTAAATTGGAAATAATATAAGTTAACCCTTATATTATTAGGTGATTGAAATGGATGAGGCGTTATGAGGAATTCATACATTTGAAACAGGCCACCATGCATGAGGAATTCATACATTTGAAACAACTGGACATGAGTGTCCAGGAATATCACACTAAATTCGTGGACCTCGCTCCATTTGCAAAGACAATAGTGCCTGATGAGAGCACCAAAGTCGGGAAGTTTATTCGTGGATTAAACTTTGATACACAGAAAACCGTCGCTATTTTGGGTTGCCAAACTCTGACGGATGCCTATGATAGAGTTGCAGTTCACTATCGTGTTCAGCAGTTACAAAGAGAGAGAAACCAGAAAATGAAGAGGTACGGAGATGAGGAGAGAGGTCGGGGAGAAAAGAGGTTTAGAGAGAACCCACCTACACAACAACAAGAACGGAGGGAGAGGAGAGATGACCAAAGCGGACGAAATTTCCGTGGTCAAAACTAGCAAAACGATCAGAGAGCTGCTCCTAGAGATAGGCACTTCTACTGTAAGAAGTGCGGGAGAGATCACCCTGCGGTTAACTACGATGGGAGCCTAACCAAATGTTTCAATTGCGGGAAGCTAGGGCACCGATCCTTCGAGTGTGTGTCAAAGACCAATGGGGCACCATTGAACCAGGTGCAATATCATGATGGAAACCGAACCGGGCCAAATGGCGGGCAAAACAACAACAATGCCGCCGCCATCAACAACAACCGCAACCCTCGAGCAGGAGGGGAGAATAATCGCTGTCACCGTAATGGCGGTAACCAAGGAAACGGAGGGAACAATGGCAATGGTGGAAACAACGGCAACCGTCCAAACCAAGGGCGAATCATGGTGATGAACTAAGCCCAAGCCAATGCTAATGATGTGGTCTCAGGTACATTCCTTGTAAATTCTGAGCCTGCTTATGCTCTATTTGATTCTGGTGCTTCTCACAGTTTCATATCTTTTAATTTCGTTAAGAGATTAAAGATTGAACCAATAGCTAGAATAGACTAGAATGTAAGAACTGCCTCAGATAAATTTGTAACTTGTGGAAATGTATACTCCAACATTTCCGTACTCATATGTGAGTCCAACCTACCTGGAGACTTAATCCAATTTGACTTAGAAGATATAGACGTAGTACTGGGCATGGACTGGTTGGGGAAGTACAAAGCTAGGATCCTATGTGATGAACAGAAGGTGATCTTGAAAGGTCCAAATGGGAAGAGAATATCTTACAAAGCAATCACAACCAAGCCCAGTATGAAGCTGATGACTATGCGACAATTACGACAACATATTCGAAAGGGGTATGAAGCCTACTTGTGTTTGATGAAAGAGGTGAATATAGAAGAGCCAAACATTGACCAAATTGCTGTAGTCAACGAATTTCCGGACGTATTTCCAGATGAGATTCCGGGAATGCCTCCCGAGAGAGAAGTTGAATTCTCAATTGAGTCGATGCCCGGAACTGCACCAATTTCAAAAGCACCTTACCGGATGGCACCAAAAGAAATGCAAGAGCTGAAGGAGCAATTGGAGGAGCTATTAGAGAAGGGTTACATAAGGCCGAGTGTCTCACCTTGGGGCGCTCCGGTCTTATTTGTCAAAAAGAAAGATGGGAGTCTAAGGCTATGTATCGATTACCGGGAGTTGAATCAAGCAACTATCAAGAACAAATATCCATTACCCCGGATTGACGACTTGTTTGATCAATTAAAAGGGGCTAGCACGTTCTCTAAGATAGACTTGCGCTCTGGCTACCATCAAGTGAGAATAGTCGAGAAAGATGTACCAAAGACAGCATTCCGCACGAGGTATGGACACTACGAGTTCACTGGGATGCCATTTGGTTTAACTAATGCACCAGAGGTATTCATGGATCTAATGAACCGTGTATTCCGACCTTACCTTGATACCTTTGTAGTGGTATTCATTGATGATATTCTCGTTTATTCAAAAACCCCGGAGGATCACGAGAGACACTTGAGGCTCACATTGCAAACTTTGAGAGAGAACCAGTTGTATGCCAAACTCTCAAAGTGCGACTTCTGGCAGGATCGGGTAGCGTTCTTGGGTCACATTATCACCCAAGAGGGCGTATCCGTAGATCCTTCCAAGATTGAGGCGGTGATTGAGTGGCGTGCACCTACCTCGGTCATGGATGTAAGAAGTTTCTTGGGATTAGCCGGTTACTATCGGAGATTTGTTAAAGATTTCTCCAAGATAGCAAGACCGTTAACCAACCTGACGAAGAAGACAACCAAGTTCTATTGGGATGAAGA